TTAAAACTATCCACTTGTGGTATTTCTGTTATGGCAGCACTAGATGACTAAGACAACATCTTTCTGGTATTCTCTGCTTTCAGCCAGGATCCATCTGACATCAGCAATGGTATCCCTGGTTCCAAGTCCTCTTCTGAATCCGGTCTGAGTTTCTGGCAGTTCCCTGTCAACATACTGCTGTAGCCGCTTTCGAATGATCTTTAGCAAAATTTTACGTGCGTGTGATATTAATGATATTGTTTGATAATTTTCACATTCTGTTGGATCACCTTTCTTGGGAATAGGCGTAAATATGGATCTCTTCCAGTCGGTTGGCCAGATAGCTGTCTTGCAAATTTCTTGGCATAGACCAGTGAGCACTTCCAGCACAGCATCCGTTTGTTGAGACATCTCAGTTGATATTCTGTCAATTCCTGGAGGCTTGTTTTTCACCAATGCCTTCAGTGCAGCTTGGACTTCTTCCTTCAGTGCCATCGGTTCCTGATCATATGCTACCTCTTGAAATGGTCAAATGTCGACCAATTCTTTTTGGTATAATGACTCTGTGTATTCCTTCCATTTTCTTTTGTTGCTTCCTACATCGTTTAGTATTTCCCCCCATAGAAATACCTTCACTATTGCAGCTCGAGGCTTGAATTTTTTTCTTCAGTTCCTTCAGCTTGAGGAATGCCAAGCGTGTTCTTCCCTTTTGGTTTTCTGTCTCCAGCTCTTTGTGCGTGTCATTATAGTACTTTACTTTGTCTTCTCGAGCCACCCTTTGAAGTCTTCTGTTCAGTTCTTTTACTTTATCATTTCTTCCTTTTGCTTTAGCTACTTGACATTCAAGACTAAGTTTCAGAGTCTCTTCTGACATCCATCTTGGTCTTTTCTTTCTTTCCTTTCTTTTTAATGACCTCTTGTTTTCTTCACGAATGATGTCCTTGGTGTCATTCCACAACTCGTCTGGTCTTCAGTCAGTGGTGTTCAACGCTTCAAGTCTATTCTTGAGATGGTCTCTAAATTTGGGTGGCATATACTCAAGGTTGTACTTTGGATCTCATGGACTTGTGCTAACTTTCTTCAGTTTCAGCTTGAACTTGCATATGAGCAATTGATGGTCTGTTCTGCAGTCAGCCCCTGGCCTTGCTCTGAGTGATGATGTTGAGGTTTTACCATCGTCAGTTTCCACAGATGTAGTTGATTTGATTCCTGTGTATTCCATCTGGTGAAGTCCATGTGTATAGTCGCCATTTATGTTGTTGAGAAAAGGTATTTGCAATGAAGCAGTCATTGGTCTTGTAAAATTCTATCATGTGATCTCCTGCATCATTTCTACCACCAAGACCATTATTTTACAACTACCGATCCTTCTTTGTTTCCAACTTTCGCATTCCAATTACCAGTAATTATCAATGCATCCTGATTGTATGTTCAGTCAATTTCAGACTGAAGAAGTTGGTAAAAATCTTCAACGTCTTCATCTTTGGACTCAGTGGTTGGTGTGTAAATTTGACTAATAGTCGTACTGACTGGTCTTCACGTGTCTGTCAGTTTGTCATACTGTGGGGGCTTGCGTGTTGCTGTGATGCTGGAAGATATGCCACCGGTACTCAGATACCAGCAGAGTCACCCATGGAGGACAGGTTTCAGCTGAGCTTCCATACTAAGACAGACTAGGAAGAAGGACCTGGGGGTCTACTTCTGAAAAGAATTAACCAGTGAAAACCTTATGAATAGCAGTGGCACCCCTGGGTGGGTTCAAATTGCCAGCCTTTAGGTATTAAGATCCCTGGGTAGCACAAACAAGAGCAGATCATTTGTGCCACACAGGGATCTTAATACTTTCTAGTTTAAAATAGACTTTTTGGGTTAATTCATGTATTTTTGGTAAACAGTCAGTGTTTCTAGGTACCTTCCCTCCCAAGTTCTTCTAGCCAACATTGCATCTGGAATAGATTCAATCTTAAGGTCCCTGGAGGTGGGAGGAGGACAGGTGGTGCTGGTCCTTGAGCTGTCCGTGAGCCATCAGATTAAAATAGACCCTCAGCTTCCAGGATGATTCTTCTTGTCTCAATCATTCTCCTTTATTATCTTCTCATCTCCTCCCCATAGAGCTTGTTATGGATTGAATTGTGATCCCCCAAAAAATGTGTGTATCAATTTGGCTGGGCCATGATTCCCAGTATTGTGTGGTTGTCCTCTGTTTTGTGATTGTAATTTTATGTTAAAGAAGATTAGGGTGGGAATATAACGCCTTTACTAAGGTCATATCCCTGATCCAATGTAAAAGGAGTTTCCCTGGGGTGTGGCCTGCATCACCTTTTATCCTACAAGAGATAAAAGGAAAGGGAAGAAAGCAGAGAGTTGGGGACATCATACTACCAAGAAAGCAGTGCCGGGAGCAGATTGTGTCCTCTGGACCCAGGGTCCCTGTGTGGAGAAGCTCCTAGTCCAGGGGAAGATTGAAGACAGGGACCTTCCTCCCTAGCGAATAGAGAGAGAAGGCTTCCCCTGGAGCTGATGCCCTGAATTTGGATGTCTAGCCTACTAGACTGTACAAAAATAAATTTCTCTTTATTAAAGCCATCCACTTGTGGTATTTCTGTTATAGCAGTACTAGATGACTAAGACAGAGTTCCTACTTCCTCTTTCTCTTTAGGTAGGCATGAACTTACTGTACGTCATATGCTGAGTTATCATTCCCATGGCTCACATTAAAGCTCTATGGGTTGAATCTACTGGGCCTGTATTCCAAGACTAGTCTTGCTATGAACTAAGGATAGATAAATAAATAAATAGGGGGATAGGTAGAGAGATTTGCTAGTCTAAACTGAGCCATGACTTTTGTTTGTATTAGTTATCTATGACTGCATAAGAAATTGTCCTAAAATTTAGGAGCTTAAAACAGCAAACACAATCTTACCATTTCTAAGGGCCACGAAGCCAGGAGTAGTATACCTGGGTGGTTCCAGCTCAGGGTCTCTCATAAGGTTGTAGTCCGGCTGTCAATGGGGGCTGCAATCTCTGAAGGTTGTTGTAGCAGAAGAACATCACAAAGTCTAGTAAAGCAAAAAGAAAGTTTTGTTTGGCATGTATTCAAAAGGGCAGAAGTGGGAAATAGACAAGCATACTGCTAGAGCCATGTCTGCCCAAGTCCAAAGAATATTACAGAATAGGCAAGAATGCGAAAATGGACAAGCATGTTTCCATAGCCATGTCTGCCCGAGTCCAAAGACCATTACAGAGTCATCAGTATATATTAACATTACAAATGGGCAAAACCATTGAAAGCTTAGCCTTTTCAGATTGGCTATAAACTGTGATCCTACATTTTGAATCATCTTTCTTAACAATCATTGGTACAGGTTTCAGTAATGAGAATCAGGAGGGTCTTCGTTGGTCCAACAAATTTCTATTCACTAAATGCTAACAGAAAAAGATAAGAGTGGAAAGTCTTTTGTGTTGTGTTTGATTGGCTTTATGTGAAAGTTTCCCTAAAAGATATTTTCCAAGATTATTTTAGCTATTGTCTTTACACCTCAGGGCCCAGATGATGTGTCCTTGTGAATCCTTGTGAGTCCAGCTCCAGGTGGGTCACATTATCTATGCTCAAGGAGAGGGAATAATAACTCCAATATTATTTCCTAAATCAAGGCTTGACTAGGACCGGAAAATCTATTTCCAAGCTCACTCCCGTGACTGCTGGCAGGAAGTGTCAGTTCTCATCATGTGGGCCTTTTCAAAGGGCTTCCCCTAGATTGCGTAATCTAAGAGAGAGACAGCAACCTAGACAGAGCTGCAATCTTTTATAACTCAATCTCAGAAGTAACATGCCATGACTTCTGCCATATTCTATCAGTCACAGAGACAACCCTGGTACAGTGTGGGAGGGAACTATACCCAAGTGTGAATGCTAGGAGACGATTACCACATTGTCCTATCAGTGTTTCTCAATGAGAACGGTGTTGATATTTGGGATGGGACAATTCTTTGTTGGATAGGATTGTCCTGGGCATTGTTGGACATTTGATATCCCATAACTGCACCCACTAAATGTTAACAGCACTCCACAGTCACTGTGGCAATCAAAAGTGTCTCTAACATTTTCAAATGCCCAGCTAGATGGACAGTATTCACCTCTTGTTGACCATGTATTTGGTAGACGAGTGGGAAGACTGGGCTTTGGGAATTAATTTGAATGAAAAATGTATTTGTTTATTATTTTCAAATATATTACAACTTGCACTAGCATCTCTTCATAAGCCTTGAAGTAACTAGGGGATTGACCATCTTGATATTAACAGTATCATGATATTGAGGAGCTAGTTTTGGTATAAAGAAAGAGTACTAAACTTGGAGTCAGAAAATCTACTTAGTCTGGCTTCTACTGATTTGCTAGCCAAGGGTCTAAGGCAAGATATTAAATTCTTCTGAGCCTTGTCTATGACTGGGAAATAATACTTCTTACTGTACAAGGCAAGCACTAAATAAGATAAAGAAAATGAGGCGCCCTTGAACCACCGTCCTTGAACCAGCCCCTGTCAAGCCTTCAGAGACTGCACTCCTTCCATAGAAATCAAATGTCTCAGTCACTAGAGGCTGCTGCTGTTTCCAGCAGGAGAGCTGCAGGAACCAGGGAATCCCTGCAGAACTATGCAGTTGGGCCAGGATTCCTTTAACAGGACAATTGATGCAAGCCTGGCTTTACTCGTTCACAGGGGCCTGAGCTTTTCTGAGCTACAAGAGGACTGCTGGGGTTTATTTTCAGGAGACCCTGGGTTGCCAGCTAAGCCTTCTGCCTGTCTTGTCTTGGTCACTGGCCAAGGCATTACTCTCTTGGGACATCTATTTTCTCCCATTTCACTCCTCTGTTCCGAGTGTCCTTTCCCCTGACCCAAACTTCCACTGCTTCTCTCCTCACAATGTTTGTTTCCATTTTCCTTTTGGAAGGTGATTGCCTCCACCCTCCACTTCTCTCTGAACTCTTCCTCTGTTTCCTTGAAGCCTGGTTCCCTTCCTAAACCTGGCTCACTCCTGCAACATGCTCAAGTTGTCTTTCCATCACAACTTTCAGGCAAAACCCTTCCACCCACAGTTGTCTACCTTCTTCATGCTCCTGGGCTGGGGAGCACTCCTGGAGTAAATCACTCAACTTTCCAGATGGGCGTACTCCAAATTCATGGTTTGCAACATCAACGAGGACATCAACATTGCCCTGGAACTCCCGTTTCCCTGCTCAGCTCTCTTCCTGCCATCCCCACAGCATCTCTTATGAGCCATCTCCTCTATTTGCCTTAAGCCTACTCCTTCACTCCTTCACACTTCTACCTCACTCCTTATCCTCAGATGACCTTGCCTGCTACTTCACAAAAAAATAGTAGCCACAGATGATAGGGCCCTCAGTTTCCTGCCACCTCACCCACCACTTTACCTGTTCCTATCCCTGTGATAATTGTGCCCACCTTCCCCAAGGACCTTACCTGTGCCTAAACTCTCATAACCTTGAACTGCCTCAGGCACTTCTCTTCAATAATCATCTCCTCTCACCTACATTTTCCTACTTGACATTTTCACTGAATCCTTCCCGTTTAAAAGTCCTTAAGTGTTTTTCACTTTTAAAAACAGAAATCCTCCGTCCATTCCACCCCGCCTCGCTCTCGCCTTGTTCTCCTATCCCTCTCCTCCCCCTCACAGTCCAAGTTCTTGAAATAACTGTTCACATTCTCTGCAGCTTTCTCACCTCCCTTCCCTCTCGACTTACTGCAATCTGCTTCTGCCCACACCTCTTCTCAGAAACTGCTCTCACCAAGGTCACAAATCGCCCCCCTACTGCTGAATCTAATGAACGGGTCTCATCGCAGGGCGGATTAACCAGTAGCACGGTAGAACGGTATGCACCGGTTTGCATTGAGCAAGGTAGGCAGGGGCTCAATTGTATTTACTTGCTAATCTGTGGTGAGCAATTTCACATGGGTTTCACTACATCTTTGGCATGGTGGGGGACAGGTGAAATTTTGCATTTCAGATTGGTAGGAAGACACCATTGGGCCTGTGCATAGCTTGCTTGCTGGTTAATCCAGCCCTGGCTCATCTCTCATCTGGCTTGACGTCTCAGTGTCTAACACTCTTCCCCCAACGCTTCTGTGCTTGGAATGCTCCTGTCTTTTGTCTTCTGTTAAACCACATGCTCCTAGTTTCCCTTCTTCCTCTCTGGCTGCTCCTTCTCAGTCTCCTTTTTGATAACGTTTCCTTTGCCTTTCTGTATAACTCAGTGTCCTCAAGTCCATGACCTTCACCACCTTCTCTTCTTCCATTGCGTACTCACCCTAGGTGATCTTATTCATTCTTATAGATGGCTATAATGAATATGTATGTGTTGGTGACCCTTGAATCCCTGGGTAGCATTAATAGTTAATGCTCAGCTGCTAACAAAAAGGTCGGAGGTTCGAGTCCACCCAAAGGCACCTCAGAAGAAAGGCCTGGGGATCTATTTCCAAAAAATCAGCCACTGAAAACCCTATGGATCACAGTTCTACTCTGACACATATGGGGTCATCATGATTCGGTATAGACTCCATGGCAACTGGTTTGGTTTTGATGACCCTTAAAACCATGTCAGTGGCTCAGAAGGCTCTCCTGAGCTTCAAATCTATATTTCAAACTGGCTCCTGGTTGTCCCTCAGACATCTCCACTCAACAGAGCCACAAGTGAGTTCTCTTCACTTCCCCTCTAAAACCTGCTCCTTCTCATGGGCATCTTCATTGACTCTTCCTTCTCCCTGACCCTCCTGCGTCCAATTAGTAACCAAATCCTGAAGATTCTACCTTTCCCAAACATTTCTCAGCTCTGAGGGCTTGTCCCTATTGGCACTGTCACCAGCTGAGTTTAGGTTATTTTTTCTGTTTGGATTACATCACAGCCTCTCAACAGATCTCTTGGTTTATAGTCTTCACACTGAACCCACAGGGATCTTTCTGAGTCTCCAATCTGATCTTCCTTCACCTATACTTAAAATTCTTCATTGACTTCCTAATGTCTTTAGAACATAAAGCTTTTTCAAAGTCTGGTCTCTTTCAGCCTGTGGCTTACCACCCTTGCCCCCAATTTATCTTTAAACTACACTGAACTATTTGGTTCTATAATGGTTGCTCCTCCCCTTCTCTCTGAACCTTTCTTCCACTTCCGAAACCTGGCTCACTCTTCAACTTGGTGTTTCCGCTGCAGCACCATTTCCCTGTGTCCTGCCTCTTTTGCACTTTTACTCTGGTCTCTCCCCCTTCCTGGGTTAACTCCTAGTCATTGCTTCTTCCACAGCGCCTTCTATGGCCTTCTAGCAGTGAAGTTAGGTGATTAAAAAAAAAAAAAGTTACTGTTGACTCAATTCTGTCTCATAGCGACCCTATAGGACAGAGTATAACTGCTCCATAGGGTTTCCAAGGTTGTAATCTTTACAGAAGCAGACTGCCACGTCTTTCTCTCACAGAGCGTCTGGTGGGTTCGAACTGCCAATCTAGCAGATGAGTGCTTTAACCACCGAGTCATCAAGGCTCTTGTGTTAGATGTTACTCCCTTTAGTTGTCCATCCATCCCTAGACTTTAAGAAGCTTTAGGGAAGAGTCCCTAAAGGTCTTTGTGGTTTTAATCCTAGAATCTAAAAGAGTGCATGGTGTGTATTAGGAGCTCAATAAATTCCTATTAAATGAAAGAATGAATGACTCTATTAATCTGTATGATATGAATGACATATGATGGGGATTATAAATATTAGTTGCATCTGAACTTTAGCTTAGAGAAGTAGTAAAGAGATAAGAGATGAATTCAAAGGGGGTAAAGAATCAAAGATATTTTCCTCCTTCCATCGTGTGTTGGGTCCAAAACGCCAGATGTTCCTTTATCCTTACCCTTTATCTCCCTTGGCAAGGGAAAAGCATCTGTCACTTAGAGAAGTCACTGCTGACCTTGGTGTTGCCATTTCAAAGATGATATTAAAAACAAAGGATGGGCCAGGACAGGAGAAATAATTGTTGTCAGGTTTTCCTTTTACAATACAGGTGGAAG